ACAGCATCCTGTTCCTCTTGTGTGAACCTTGACTTCAGGCTGATGACTAAAAGGAAAGCATGCGGTCCAGGAACTGACTGTTTAATGCACTCCTCAATTTTTGCTTTCACTTCATCTTGTGTTTTGGTTGTGCCAAACAGCCCTGGAGTGTCAATCACAACAATTTTTTTCCCACCTTTTTCTACCTCTTTTCTGAGACAGCCGTCAGTAACAGACTCAGGTGAAATGTCCTCTTTGAAAGCAGTTGTATTCCCCAGAACGGTGTTTCCAGACGCACTCTTTCCTGACCCTGTTTTACCAACCAGGATGAGTCTCAGTTCTTTATGATATGCAGAGTCTGTGGAAAATTAATGATAAGATTTGAATTATGTGAAGGAGTGTGCATGAGTGACACAACTTTTGACAGTGATTCTGTGCTTGCAGTTTTTATGTTCTAGTAACCTCTTAATGTTACTGTAGAAGTTAATAACTGCACAAATAAGTGGCTGAAGGCACTTCACTGTATAGTCTTGAGACTTGCCATTAAAGTGAGTTTGACTGTTTACCATAAGAAACAACATTCAACTTTATTTGTTTTATATACATAAATATATGTTTTCAAATACAGAAACATTAAACTGACTCCAGAAAACAGGTTTTTATAGATGAACAAGGCAAAGTACGAAACTAGGCTATTTGCTAATAACGTGTTAAATAAAATATATGTTTATAACATGTTATAAACAAATTTTCTGCAAATGAAGTCATTTATACAGCAACATATGTGAACACTTGTTATGTTTATGTATTCATGACAAACCGGCTATACAAGTTCTTATTCTACTTACCTTTGTGTTGATTTTGCCAGTGAGCAGTTTGTCCACATAACGTAAGTAACACCAGCAGGATGGATCCTTGGATCCAAGCTTTTGCTGCCAACATTTCAATAAACGCTCAAAAACTTTACCAGGAAAAGAAAAAAAGGAAAAGCGTTAAAGGAAAGTCTTTCAAACAAGATAGCAAGTAAAAGTTTATGAATATACACTGGCGAACAATATGATCCACAGGCATAAACTGAGATTTAGAAATGTGTACAGTCATTTGTGTGTAACTTTTGAGGACTCACAAATGCGTGCACTCATCCACATACACAAATATGAAGCAATTTGACAATACGTAAAATTATTCAACAAATGCTTCCCTCCGAACCTAAATTAATAGTGATTATTTAGGCAAAATTTATTAAGGTGAGCTTCACGGAT